GCTGGACCTCATCATGTCTGCCGCTGACCAAGATATTGATGTCCCTCTATGTGGTCATGCTATGAATGTGGATAGCAAGGATATTAGCAGGGAGTTTTCAAGGTCGTCTAGAGGTCGTAGTGTAAGGGTGACCTCCGTCAGGTCCAAGGAAGCAAGAACACAGAAATTTGATTCTGAACGCAATTTACAATCTATTGCTGATTCTTCATATTCATCGCAAGACAATTTGAAAGACAACTTGGATGCTTCTGCGGATACATTGCTTGATGCTGAGAAAAATTCTGCTTCTCAACATGAATTTGATAATTTTAATGAGGGAATACACGGTGCAAGCACACCCGGACATTCCACTACTTCAACTCCACAATTCGTCAGTCAGGAAGTGGCGGACCAGTTGCGTTGCGAATCTGTCAAACGCATAAGAAAGCGAAGCGAGCTTGACCCTAACTATAGTAAGGATGCTTCGTCTGGTTTCACGTTTGGACCAATTGTTAAGCGCTTTCGTAATATTAAGCGCAAGGTTCACTTGGAAATATTTGGACCGGAGGACTCGGACTCTCCTGGTGAAAAATATTCAGGTCATGGAAACGGCTTTGCCCTCTTATCGGATGATGACATTGAAAACCCACTCCCTAATGATCGTATGGACACCCAGTCTCCTCCATCGGAGCCCCTAAGTTCCTGCCAGCCCCCTGTGACTAGTAAGAGTACAATAACTTCTAGCAATAGTGGTGGAATTTCCCAAAAGTCAAAGGGTATTTCTGGTACTCCTATTTCTTCGACTAAAGCACCCAAATCTGAACCACGTCCGCCCGCCTATGTGATAAAGGGCGTTACTGATGTCAAGCAACTTATGAATCTGATCAAGGCTGCCACAACCAATATAAGATTTAAGATTACTGAACCTGCTACAGTGAGGGTATCTCCTTTCGATCATGATACATACAAAGTAGTTCAACATCTCTTCCGTTTAATTCTTGGCAACTGAAAAGTGATCGATCTTTCAGGACTGTCATCAAAGGCCTACATTTTTCTACGGATCCTGAAGATATTAAGGCTGATTTAGGCGCCGCTGCGCACGTTGTCCGCAATGTTTATAACCCCACGGGTAAGAACAATGGTCACAGACCCAATATTTTCTTTGTTGAGCTACAGTCATCGACAAATAATGTCAAAGTCTATGACATTAAATCATTGGCTTATCAGTCAATTACTATCGTCCGTCCTGAACGCCGTGATGAAGTTGTTAGGTGCCAGGTGGTGGTGATCATGTGGTGGTGATCATGAATCTCGAAGCCCTGTTTGCCCTGTTACGTCTCAGGATCAATTTAAGTGCATTAATTGCGGTACTTGGACTTCATTAACGCATCGCGTTTGCCGGACTCGCCCAGCTGGACCTCATCATGTCTGCCGCTGACCAAGATATTGATGTCCCTCTATGTGGTCATGCTATGAATGTGGATAGCAAGGATATTAGCAGGGAGTTTTCAAGATCGTCTAGAGGTCGTAGTGTAAGGGTGACCTCCGTCAGGTCCAAGGAAGCAAGAACACAGAAATTTGATTCTGAACGCAATTTACAATCTATTGCTGATTCTTCATATTCATCGCAAGACAATTTGAAAGACAACTTGGATGCTTCTGCGGATACATTGCTTGATGCTGAGAAAAATTCTGCTTCTCAACATGAATTTGATAATTTTAATGAGGGAATACACGGTGCAAGCACACCCGGACATTCCACTACTTCAACTCCACAATTCGTCAGTCAGGAAGTGGCGGACCAGTTGCGTTGCGAATCTGTCAAACGCATAAGAAAGCGAAGCGAGCTTGACCCTAACTATAGTAAGGATGCTTCGTCTGGTTTCACGTTTGGACCAATTGTTAAGCGCTTTCGTAATATTAAGCGCAAGGTTCACTTGGAAAATTTGGACCGGAGGACTCGGACTCTCCTGGTGAAAAATATTCAGGTCATGGAAACGGCTTTGCCCTCTTATCGGATGATGACATTGAAAACCCACTCCCTAATGATCGTATGGACACCCAGTCTCCTCCATCGGAGCCCCTAAGTTCCTGCCAGCCCCCTGTGACTAGTAAGAGTACAATAACTTCTAGCAATAGTGGTGGAATTTCCCAAAAGTCAAAGGGTATTTCTGGTACTCCTATTTCTTCGACTAAAGCACCCAAATCTGAACCACGTCTGCCCGCCTTTGTGATAAAGGGTGTTACTGATGTCAAGCAACTTATGAATCTGATCAAGGCTGCCACAACCAATATAAGATGTAAGATTACTGGACCTGCTACACTGAGGGTATCTCCTTTCGATAGTGATACATACAAAATAGTTCAACATCTCTTCCGTTTAATTCTTGGCAACTGAAAAGTGATCGATCTTTCAGGACTGTCATCAAAGGCCTACATTTTTCTACGGATCCTGAAGATATTAAGGCTGATTTAGGCGCCGCTGCGCACGTTGTCCGCAATGTTTATAACCCCACGGGTAAGAACAATGGTCACAGACCCAATATTTTCTTTGTTGAGCTACAGTCATCGACAAATAATGTCAAAGTCTATGACATTAAATCATTGGCTTATCAGTCAATTACTATCGTCCGTCCTGAACGCCGTGATGAAGTTGTTAGGTGCCAGGTGGTGGTGATCATGTGGTGGTGATCATGAATCTCGAAGCCCTGCTTGCCCTGTTACGTCTCAGGATCAATTTAAGTGCATTAATTGCGGTTCCAACCACAGTGCAGGCTACCGCAAATGTCCAGCTTTTCTAGAAGCAATTGCTCGTCGCAAATCTGGAACAATCAAAAAACAACCAACAATTAAATTTGTTTCTGCCCCTCTTCCTGCCCAAAATGCTTGGGGCCCAGCTTTACCTTCCCCGTCTACTGGATCTAGCTCTTCCAAGCCAATGCAACGCGTTCCTGAGCCTCCTCGGCCTAGTGCTGACTTTGAAATTCTTATCTCCCGTATTGTCCAGATGATGTCAATGATTATGAAAATGATGGAGCTTCTTATGAACCAGTTTACCGGCAGGCGAACTGCGTCTAAGATCAGGAGACATGTCTAGTTTAGGCACTCGTTTCTCATTTTGGAACGCCAATGGTGTCACTGGCAGAAGTCTTGAGTTAGAGCACTATCTTACCGCTAATTCAATTGATGTGATGCTAATTAACGAAACGCACTTTAACAGCCGCTCACATTTCAGAATTTTTGGATATGATTTATTGACGGCTAATCATCCCTCTGACCGTCTTCGAGGAGGTGCTGCTATTTTAATCCGTTCTCACTTGCAGTACTCCCCTTACAGTACAAACTCTACTGTAAAATGTCAAATTGCTGCAATTACCTTAACCACGGACTTGGACTCGTGATTGCTTCTATTTACTGCCCCGCTTCTTTTTATGGACTGCTCAAGATTTTGGACAATTTTATAGCGAATTTTCAAACCGTTTTATCATAGCTGGTGACTGGAACGCTCACAATCAATTTTGGGGTTGTATCCGCTCTTCACCAAGAGGTTGAATACTGCTCGTGCGTACGGTCACCTTAATATGCTTAATATCAGGACCTAATCAAATCGGTACAGAAACAGTTTCTTTTGTTTGCTTTACGTGGGTTAAACTGGGAACTACAACGTCACCTGTCATCTTACGTCGATAGACTGCGTCTAAGCGAAAGTAATATCGCTAACAAAATAATCATTATTTCTGAGCGATTTTTTTTTTTGCTTACAAAATAATTACACTGTGCAGCATTTTTAGTGCTTTTTAAATTTACCTCGATGGATGCTATATTTTTGGATTCGTTACGAATTCCCAAGTTAAACTGCGTTTTCCAAAAAGTTCCCCGACGCAAGGATTCTTAGCAAAAGGACCTCAAAGTTCGAAAAATGCAGAAATTGGCCAACTTTCCGGAGCTCTCAGAGGCAAACGGATTCATGGTTTGATTCGATGTTAAAGTTTTTTAAAAGATACACTCTTTATCTTTTAAACCCCATACTTACAAAATTTTTAAGATTTTTTTTAAGGCAGAAACAAATTCTAGAAAACCTAGTCAAAAAACATAAAAGTATACAGATGCGGTCAAAATGGTAGTAGTGTTGCCGCCCTGTGTATTTAAAAGTTTGTTGTTGTAATTGATCTTTTCCTGGTAATATTGTATTGATTATAATTTTCCTATTAGACTAATTGGATAAGAAAAAATTACAACATCAAACTTTTAAAAACACAAGGCGGCAACACTGCTACTATTTCGACCGCAGCTGTATGTTTTTCAGTTTTTTGACTGTTTTTTGGAATTTATTTCTGCCTTAAAAAAAATCCTAAAATTAATTTATGTATGGGGTTTGAAAGATAAAGGGTGTATCTTTTAAAAAACTTTAACTTCAAACCAAGCCATGCATCCATTTGCCTCTAAGAGCTCCGCAAAGTTGGTAATTTCAGCATTTTTTGAACTTTGAGGTCCTTTTGCTAAGAATCCTTGCGTCGGGGAACTCTTTGGAAGACGCAGTTTAACTTGGGAATTCTTAACGAATCCAAAAATATAGCATTCATCGAGGTTAATTTTTGATGCTGCATAGTGTTATTAAATGGAGACTTTTATTTTTTACTCAAAAAAAAAATCAGTATTTTCGGTCCTTGGTATTTTTGTTGTTTTGTGAATGTTCCTCGAAATTTAATGTAACAAATATTTTAAGTCATCTATCCTTGCCTCCGCTCACTTGATGTGAATCTTTAAAAATGTAATTTGCAGCCCTATTTTATAACAGATCAGTTGTTCTGATCTATAACATTTTTTTATTGTTAAAAAGCATTTGTAACGCGAATGTGGGTAGAGATTAAGCATCACAGAGGAAGGTCGTAAGACAAGAACTGTACTCATGGAAGAATAAATCGTGTATCAATTTTTAATAAATTCTCGGAAGTCAACGGAAGTCTTTTTCAACAGACGGAAATTATAGCACCATTTGCAAATGTAAAAAATGTACTTACTGCTGAGTTGTATGCTGCAGTTGTGTATTGAAAAGAGTTATATATTCCTTAGGTCTTGCAATTGATACATTAAATGGAACCTGTATTCGAATATAAAGAATGTACTTATTGTATAAATATAATAAAATGCCAACCTTTATTCCAGGTTCATCAAAGCACGGAAACACTCGACGTGCATGGTTTGGTTTCAAGTTTGTAGCTAAATATACTTCTTGGCCATCATTGGACGAATTTGTATAATAGCCTTTAAAGAGTCCTTCCGCATCTCCTAAAATATTTCCTTCAAAATAAATTTCTAGAAGATATTCAGATTCCCTTTTAAGGCCATCTTTTAGGTATAAAACAAATACAGACTTTCGAGGAAGTCGGCCGCCCCTTAAAATGTTAAGGCTTTCGACTGTTGTCCTATTGTAAATATACATTTAACAGAAATGGAATAAAGTGATTCAATAGGATTACTTACCTAGTTTCCATTTTTAATCTGCTAAGTTGCATTTTTTTGACGTCTATCAATAAGTCAGCGTGGGCATGAAAATGCACCTTTTTTGAATCTGTAATACTTTTTAGGTATATACTAACTTTTCCCTTAAAATTTTGGGTTTGCATATTGGGTTCAATATAAACTTCATAGTTGAGAGGCAGAATATCTTTGGGCAATCTAAAATCTGACATTGTGTTAACTGTAGAAAGATCAATGTCTGCTTTAATAATTCCCTAATAAAAGAAATTGAGAAATAAAAAATAATTAATTTATTGAATTTTTTAGGCAAAAAGAGCAGTAGTTTAACTTAGATATAGGAACAAAAAGCAAAAGGGAAGTTAACTTTGGTTTGACAATGGCTAATGCTCAACTCCTGAGAGCGTAACTTTACGGGTCCTTATTGTCAACGCATTTTGAGCGTACTCTTATCAGTACTAATCCTGGGATAACAGAAAAATTGTTGGATTGTTTAAAACTTTATGAAAAAAAATGATTACACTTTCTATAATGTTATTATTCAAGAAAATTATCTAAGATTCTTTGCCTATAATGACATTTTTTATGTCAGCGTGCCGAAACATCGTCATGAAGTTTTACCGTGTTAAGAAGTGTTAAAGCAGTTAAAGAGAGAGTTGAGAGAAGTACGTAGAGAGTTTGGAGAGTACGAGGAGAGAGAGATGGCAGAGTACGAACCCATTGAAAGATTGAGAGACGAAGCGGAGAGAGGGGAGAGGCCAAGGACTAACGGGACTAAATGGCCTATATAAGCGAGCTTAAAGTTGGAAGCTGGACCTGTCATCGAACATCAAATCGTGAGTGAACGACGTCTAGTGAAAGTCAAAATCGGAGTCGTATTTTTTGAGATATCGCCTTGAAATTTGGAGCGTGGTAGTAGTAGTAAACAAATTAAAGTAACAGAGTTTTTAAAGATAAAAACCCAAACAAAAATATTTAACAATTTTTTTTTTATCTATTTTCGACTTATTTGTCCTAGATTTGTCAAACCTGTTTTAAAACTCAAACGACAGTTTAATCAGTTTGGATTGATTACACTATGCAGCATCAAAAATTAACCTCGATAAATGCTATATTTTTGGATTCGTTACGAATTCCCAAGTTAAACTGCGTTTTCCAAAAGAGTTCCCCGACGCAAGGATTCTTAGCAAAAAGGACCTCAAAGTTCAAAAAATGCTGAAATTGGCCAACTTTGCGGAGCTCTCAGAGGCAAATGGATGCATGGCTTGGTTTGAAGTTAAAGTTTTTAAAAAGATACACCCTTTATCTTTCAAACCCCATACATAAAATAATTTTAGGATTTTTTTTAAGGCAGAAATAAATTTCAAAAAACATAGTCAAAAAACTGAAAAACATACAGCTGCGGTCAAAATAGTAGTAGTGTTGCCGCCTTGTGTATTTTAAAAGTTTGATGTTGTAATTTTTTCTTATCCAATTAGTCTAATAGGAAAATTATAATCAATACAATATTACCAGGAAAAGATCAATTACAACAACAAACTTTTAAATACAAAGGGGGGCAACACTACTACCATTTTGACCGCAGCTGTATACTTTTATGTTTTTTGACTATGTTTTCTAGAACTTGTTTCTGCCTTAAAAAAAATCTTAAAAATTTTGTAAGTATGGGGTTTAAAAGATAAAGAGTGTATCTTTTATAAAACTTTAGCATCTAACCAAACCATGAATCCGTTTGCCTCTATGAGCTTTAGAAAGTTGGCCAATTTCTGAATTTTTCGAACTTTGAGGTCCTTTTGCTAAGAATCCTTGCGTCGGGGAACTTTTTGGAAAACGCAGTTTAACTTGGGAATTCGTAACGAATCCAAAAATATAGCATACATCGAGGTAAATTTAAAAAGCACTAAAAATGCTGCACAGTGTTATCGTCATTGGCAAACACCATCAATGCGTGCTTTACAAGTGCTTCTCGCTGAGCGATTTTTATGTTTTTTGACCAAGCCTCGAAAAATGCTGCATGGCCTATTTCACTAATTTTTGATCTTGAATCAGAATGATTGCCTGCGAGTGATGTATGTTTTGGTTGGATAGAATACGATTAAATAATGTAAGTTTTTTTCCACCAAAACATAGAAAATATGAAGAAATACACAATGCATTAGCATTGTTTTTGATAAAAAAATTAATTTTACTGAAAACACTTTACATTGGCATTGATAGTAAGATAATTATAATTATAATGTTACTGACAACAAATATCATTTGTTGACAACATTGTCAAATAAGTAATGCTACCGAAAAATACTTCATTGGCATTGAAAAAAGCTTTTTTAGTAGGTTTTTTGAAAGACAATGGTAATTAAAGCTGTTTAACTACCATTACATTTTTAAATTAAGTCTTTCAGTAGCATTGCTTTTAGGGACTTTATTAAAAAATGCTTTTAGTAGCATTGAAATTTTTCAGAATCAATTTTTTTTTTAATGGAAATGAACTATTTTCCATTAGCAGTAACAAATTGTTAACAAATCGCGGTCCACCGAGGATTATAACGTGTTTAGCTTCGAACGAGAAACAAAGAATGTATTTTGCTTATCGTAAATGTTTGACATTAGGCCCTTGGAGCTATTTTTGTTCGAATAACGTGAGCTGTTTGAAAGGGTGTTGCTGGAGAAAATAAATTTTGAATTTAACCGCCCTAATTTGAATGCGTTACACTTGAGTTACCCTGCATGCCAATTTCAACTCACTTATCTATAAATATGTTGCCCAACACTTTTTCTATTATTCCTTAATTGTCGCTAATTCGTTGATGTGAGCAGAAATACAATTTAATAAACGCAACGATTTGCAAATTAGCCTGTGAAGAACAATTTCTTATAAATATATATATAGTCGCTGATCGCAAACAAAAGTGTTTTATTAAAGTATTTTAAGTTTGTACGTTTGTTGGCACGTTACATTTTTATTAAATTTTAAAGTTGCTTATGTCGCATATTATATTGAAATCTTGCAAAAAGTTGTGAAATTAACTTTGCAATAGTCTGCAAATGAGAGCATATGGTGGCACTCTTCACTCTTTGGTGACGCCTAAATGGTATTGACTCGTGCGAAAAGAAAACTGATGAAGAATATGGATCAAACCCACAATTCGACGCCAAGACCAGGTGGGAAACCAGACACCGATGAGGACCACATGGATCCACTAAGTGACAATGAGGATGACACTGTAATAGAAAAGGACAAGGAAATTCCAATAATGACCATGCAGGATGTCATGGAGAAGATGTTGGTGGATCAGCAATTGCAGACGGATCGAATTATGCAAAAATTTAATGCCATGACCGAAGAGTTTACTGAGTATAAGAAGAAAGTAAATTCTTTGGTTTCTGAAGCTGATAAACAGGGCAGTGAACCACCCGCTAATGGAGCACAGGGCGGTATTCATGGCCTGGTGTCTTCACACGGAGGACCGCATCATGGAGCAGCTTCATCGCATTCAGGTGTCGCACAGGGCGGCATCTATGGCCAAGCTTCCTCATATGGAGGATTGCATTTTGGAATTGCTTCAACAACCAGCAGTTCATCGTATTCGGATGTCGCACAGGGCGGCATCTTTGGGCTGGCTTCCTCATATGCAGAATTGCAGCATAGCGTTGTTTCATACAATGGCAGCGCGCTGACTTCTGGAGCCGCACAGGGCGGCACTCATGGCCTGGTGTCCTCGCACGGAGGACTGCGTCCCGATGCTGCTGCTCTTAGCAGCTATACTTCGACTTCTGAAACCGCACAGGGCGGCATTTATGTTCTGGTGTCCTCACACGGAGGACTGCGTCCCGCTGCTGCTACTCCTAGCAGCTATACTTTGACTTCTGATGCCGCACAGGGCGTCATACATGGCCTGATTTTTTAACAAGGAGGATTTCATCCGTCTGATACATCTGGCACCACACAGGGTGGTCGACAACTCAATTTTCAAATTGACGCTATAAAAGGTGAGTCTGATTTTGGATATGCTGGGTCTCGGGGTTGTGGCGCTTTCGAGATGGGTGATAGTCAGAATTTTTCGAAGAGAAGAATAATAGATTTGCCTAATTTCTATGGACTGCCAGAAGACTGGCCAATATTTAGAAGTATGTTTGTAGAGACAACTCTCGCATACAAGTACTTCGATTTGGAAAATTTACTCCGACTGCAGAAGAGTTTAAAAGGTGTTGTCAGGGAAGAGGTGGCGGCAATGTTAATAAATCCAGTTAACGTCGATCACATTATGAAGCGCCTACAATTTAAGCATGGACAATCAGGATTTCTTATTAGGAGTCAGTTGGAAAAGGTATCTGAAATGCAGCAGATCACAGAAAACAACCTGGACAAAATTATACCATTTGGAGCAAAGGTGTCAAACCTGATCTTATTTCTTAAATCGGCTAACGCTTTGCAGAATTTGCAAAACCCTGTCCTATTAAGTGACCTTATAAGTAAACTTCCTATGCGAACTCGTATAGAATGGACAACATATGCATCAGGTATCCAACCCTATGCTGATCTAGGACATTTTGGTTCGGGGATAGATAAAATTGCAATGGATATATCACAAGCTTCTCTTACAACTGCATCAAGTAAGGGGCTGTCCATATATTACGTAATCACGTTTTTGCTGATTTTTGACCCCCTCCCCCCTTGGTGATCAAACGTAATCTTTCAATAAATACCCCCCCCACAATGATTACGTAATCCCAAGAATAAAATTTTTTTGTTTTAATATGTGGATTCAAACAGAGATGCAACCCAATCTTTAATATTGTTTATAAATGGAGTTTGGTATGACACATTCGGTTCGTATACGCTGAAATTATCTCCAACATACTCTTCGTCAAGCCATTCCAGGTCTTCGCATTCTTCGTGTGATTGAACCACTAAACATTCTCTTTCTCGCCGCCCAGCCACTAAAAAAAATTTTTCTCTGCTTTCCTATCTAAGTTTGCAGATATATTTAAAGAAAAAAAGTTTTTAAAAAAATTCTTTAAAAAAAAAATACATATAAAATGATTACGTAATCATTGTGCAAGACCCCCCTCCACATGTAATCAAACATAATCATTTCAATGACCCCCTCCCCCCTAGGTGATTACGTAATATATGGACAGCCCCTAAGCCAAATTCCAAGCATGAGAAAGGCTCAAACCAAAAGATGGTGATGCAGATAACCAAGGAACCGTCTAAGGATACAGGGAAAATTAAATGTTATGAATGCAAGGGCCA